ATAAGGGTTGTACAACATATATGACTTCAAGACTTGAAGAGAGTTACATATTTGGCTCACCTAATTATTCAACCCAAATTGATCCAGAGAATAAAGGAAGCTCAATCAACCGATTCTACCCTAATAGCTCTTAGGAAGAATGCAGAATATGAAGTAAATCCAGAATTTTGAGTTTCTACCAATGGGTTGCTCAGATTTCCGAACATTGTATGTGTTTCATATGATAGTGAACTAAAAAAGGACATCATAACAGAGGCTTATAACTCAAAGTTCGTCATACATCCCGGTAGTACTGAGATGTATCAAAGTATGAGATCTCAGTTTTGGTCGAGCGGTATAAAAAGAGATATAACCAACTTTATTTCCAAATGTCTCGTCTATCAACAAGTTAAAGTAGAGCATCAACGCCCACATAGGCTACTTAAGCCATTATTGATCCTGGAATAGAAATGAGTATCATATTATAATAGATTTCGTGTTGCCAAAGGCACGCTCAAGGCATGATGTTATCTATGTAATTGTCGACCGACTCACCAAGTCCTCTAACTTCCTGACTATCAAGATGACCGATTCCTTAAACAAGATAGCAAAAGTTTATATCTGGGAGATAATCAGGTTACATGAAGTCTCAGTGACAGTGGTATTCGATAGAGACCCCAAGTTCACTTTTTGGTTTTGGTCTAATCTTCAAACAAGCCATGTGAACGAAACTATCCCTTAAATTGCAATTCAGCATCAAACTGATAAATAATTAGAGAGTATGATTCGTACACTGGAGAATATGCTCTGAGCTTGTGTTTTAGATTTCAGGGTCATTGGGATGATCACCTACCTTTGATAGAGTTTACCTACAATAACAGATATCAAGCAAGCATCAGCATGACCCCGTTTGAGATATTACATGACCGACCCTGTAGGTTACCGATCTGTTGGGAAGAGATGGACAATAGAAAATTATTTGACTCGGATTTTGTAGAGGAGACTACAGTCAAAATAGTCAAAATCAGGAAAAATATCCAAACAACTCAGAGCAAACAAAAGAGTTATGCAGACACCCGAATGAGGAATTTGGAATTTGAGAAAGGTGATCGAGTGTCTCTTAAGGTGACTCCTTTTAAGAGAATCAACAAGTTTGGAAAGAGAGAAAAATTGAATCTCCGGTTCATTTGGCCATTTGAAATCTTAGACATGATTAGTGCGTTCATCTACATACTAGCACTACCTACAGAGCTATCAAAAGTTCATAATATGTTTCATGTATCCATGCTATGCAAGTACAACCCGAACTACTCACATATCTTATCCTACAAGCCCCTTTCACTCTATGAGGATTTATCCTATGAGTAGGTATTGGTATATATTATGGACCGAAAGAGTAGAGTGCTTCGTCACAGACATATTCTTTTCGTCAAAGTCCTATGACAAAATCACACACAAGAAAAAACCACTTGTGAGCTAGAATCAAACTTCAAAGAACAGTACCCTCAATTGTTTAACTAAGACAGAGAGTGACAAATTTGAGAGACCAAATTTTTGTAGGGGGAGAGTTGTAATATTTGGACCTAAAAATCGGTCCAGGACGATTTTTCTTATTTTTAAAAAATATTTTAATAAGTAATTTTATTTATTTTAATTTAAATTTATTGAATTTTTTGAAAAAAATGAATTATGGATGAAATTGAAAGTAATTTAAGAAAAAAAAGGGTAAAAATTTGAATTCACGTGGTATTTTTGAAAGAAAAATTAAAAATAAGGGATTAAAATACAAAAAAAAGGTTCGACCATGTAGGACAACCCAGTCAGCAGCCCCGGTGAACCAGAACACGCCGCATGACAACCCTGCTGACAATGGCACTACGTGGGAAGTCATGTGACCGATCCGCGTGCCCAACAATCTGACAGTCCAGATCTCATCACCCATGTGTGAACGGCTCATATGTGTTTCCTCTTTAGGTACGATCGAACAGTCAGATTTAGTCTGATCGTGCGACCCAAATTCATTTCCTGAATAGTATAAATCCAACAAATGTGAGAGGGCCACGTCTCTCAGAACAAACAGTGCAGATCAACACAGAATGGGTATTTAAGCATCGCATTTCAGAGAACCCTACTCTAGTCACTTTGCCTTCGCCGAGAAAGAAGAACCAAACACCAGAGAAGGAGGTCGAACCCTTACCGCCGCTGCATCGGAACCACCACCAACTGCTAAAAAAGGTAAAAAAAATTCCTTCATGCTCGAAATTTGATTCTAAGTTTTCTTGTGACCATATCGGAGCAAAAGGGATGGCAGGTGAACCAAAAAGTGCGAGCAAATCCCGGCAAAGCTGCCGCGACAAAAATCCTAAAACCCCTCCAATAAGGTCATTCTTATTTCTCGTTTCACACGATTCTTTGACCATTGTGTTCACAATTCCTTTATGTGTAGCTTAGTCGAAGGAGAAACCCCAGCCGCGAAGGAGAACCAGGGGAGCCACCGTACCCAGAGATCCCGCTCCCCCTGCCGGTAGGTTCAGTTTTTTTTTTATTTTCTTGCAAATTGAGGCTTTTAATGTTGTTTTTTTGCAGGGATATGTGTAAAACCAATTAAAATTGGCAAAAAAGGAAAAAAAACCGGCCTAGTCGAGTCAAACTGCCATCGTGGGCAGCGGAGCTAGCGCTAGAGCACGGCGGTGCCGCCGTGCCAGAACCCTAAAATTGGCCATAATGTATTTTAAACACTAATTTTGGATTTTTGGATTATTTTTGGGTATGTGACGAGTATTTTGATTCCTGCAAGAAAAATTTGGAAAAACCCTATGTCCTCTAGGACGCATAGTGGGTAACAAAATGTTTCAAAATACCGATCTCGATAAAGATCCATCATCCTATTTTCTGTTACGGTAAATTGAGGTTTAATAATCAATAATTTAATTTTTTGTAAAAATTAAAAAAAAAATTCTAATAATAATTATAAGTCACTAGTAGAATCGAAATCGGTCAGTGTACAATTGCCTTAGTTTTTTGTCATTTTCTCTTGTATTGCTTAAAATATTTACTATATATTTATGTGCATTAAATTGATAGTTTATATTGTGTTCTCGATTATCTGTTCTATTTAGTTTCCCCTATATTGTTTATTTATTTATTTGGTTATTTGGTTATTTGGTTATTCAGTTATGATAAACTATGTTGCTTGCTTAGATGTCTTTTAAGTTAATATTTAAATACGGAATGAGGTGTTAGTATGTGATTTGTGGTTGTTTGGATGATGAGAATCTATATATATGAAAACTTACTGGGCATCCCTGGAAAGGATGAACGGAACCAGTACATAAAGAACCCTATTGTGAATAATACCTTAGTCAGACAAAGCTGAGAAGTCCCATACCGGAAAGATTTTAGAGATATAATTCACCATCATACCCGACAGAGTATCAACGCGACGGTATTATTGGCACCCATTACCAGACGATGTATGGGAACAACTAGGTTCATTGTCAATCTATATGCTGAGTTCACGAGTAAGGAGATATTTCGATGGACCCCCAAGGGTCCCAATAAGTAGGTTAAAAGGAAGAATTATTAATCTTATGCACGAAACTAAAATGTTACTTGGTTATTTATCTTCATAAGTTATTTTTAGAAAAATCCGTAATGGTAAGTATGAAATAAAACGTTTTAGAGTTAAATATATTTACTTAAATCAATGGCTCTATTAGTTGTTTTATAATTTTTACCAACATTTAGTTTTCCGTATAAGTGATTAGTATGATATTCTTATTAGGTTAGTGTAGCTCACTCTTTTATTAATATTTTAGATCAGGAAGAACAATATCTGGATTCCGATCAGCAATAGAGTTGTGAGTAGTTCACCTCTCAGACTCCCTTTAAGTGCTAGTGGAGGTTATCCTTTAGAATATCTATTTATTTATTTATAATTATCGTTTATTTTTTTTTATAAACCAATATAAAATAGACATTCTCATAACTCTATTAAAGATTTTAATTTATTATGTAAAGAATGTAAATTCTAATTTTATTATTCGCTTCTGCATTTATATAATAAATATTTTTTTTTAGTTTCAGACTTTTATAATTTAAATTATTATAATAAATAAATTTGTGTTATTATGAAAATTTTTATAATTTATTACTAAGTGATCAACTAAATATCATAACATATTTTATATTATTGCTCTCATGTTATTTAATCAAATAATTTACTTTTCATTATATTACTTAATTTGATTTTAAATAATATTTGCTTAAAAATGAGTAACACCTCCTTTGAATTAAAAAATAGATTATTACTAATTTTGAATGTAGAAATTAATAGAATATGCTGGCAGCAATTTAGAGCCGTCCATAGTTTATGGGTGAAGTGACGGATGATGGATCTTGTCTTCTCTACAGACAAGATCATAATAGAAAAAGATTCAACGGTCATAAACGCGATTGCGTAGGGCCCACATCACATACCTCAGCTACCTGCGGTCTCCACGTGGCACGAGATAGGTGGGACCCACGATACGAAACAACAAATATAAGCAAACATATTTTAGGATCTATGAGACTGACCCTCTGATTGAGAATTGAGATTGCAACAGTTACCTCCCTTCCCTACATTCTTCTAGATCTCTCTCTCTCTTTCTCTCTGTATATATACAAAATATACGTATATTTTAAAATTCTTTCTTGTTCGATGAGGAATGAATTTGACTGGGTTTGTGTTTAAATGGGTTTCTCTTCTTTTTATTCGTATAATGTATTATGATTCGTGGGTTTATGTGCTGATGAAGCTCCATTTGTATACATATATATACCTGTACATAGATAGATAGATAAAGAGGAGATAGAGCCTGAAGTTCCATTTTTTTGATTATCAAAACCAAGTCCTTCTGTCTGAATTTTAATTTCAAGTGCTGAAAATAATGAGCTCTTACCGGTCAATTTCCGTGGAAAAGTACCCTATTTTCACAAAACCCATGACACCATCTTTTCTAAAGAAGTCATGGATACCGCCTGTTGTCTGCACTACTCGCCGGCACAACGCCACACTCACCACCCTAAAACCCTAAACCCCATAATTGTATCCCACGGCGGTCAGAATAAGAACAAGAATAAGAAGAAAGGGTTGTTTGATGTGGGTAATGAACAGATGTTTGTTTTGTGTGGATTTGGATATTGGGTACAAGGTTTTAGGTGCTTTCCATGGCTGGCTCTCAACTTTCACATGGCTCATAACCTTAGCCTTCGTCCTTCAACATTGCAGCTGGTTCAGCATTCTGGTAATCTTCCCATGGTGGCCAAACCCCTCTATGGTCTCCTCTCTGATACTACTTACATAGGTGGTGCTCATAGAATACCTTATATTTCCGTTGGAGGTACTGTGATATATTTATTCATTCACAAGTTATTATTCTAGAGATTTTGTTTCTGTAGATTCAGAATCAGCTTTGTTGCATACATGGTTTTGTTTCAACGAGTTTGGATGCTGCATTTTGATGCTCTCTATGCAATTCCCGCATTCCTATTTTTTCCCCTTAAGCTGGTTTTCCTTGCCTGCTTTTTTTCCTACTTTATCAATGTCTCTTGCTTAGACTATGAAAAGTGAAGGAAGCTTCATATTTCAGATTCCCGGAATAACTTGGTTGAGTTGAGTTCAATTCACTAAGTTTCTAATTTTTTATTCATTTATAAACATGATACTTTCTTATTACAAAAATTTCTGATTCTTTCTAAGATCTTGTTCTCTTTTACCAATGCTCAAGTTGATAGTAACATTAATTATTTATATTTTTAGATGTCTAAAAATATGAATTAAGTATTTTGTGATTATGTTTAATTTTTACGAGAAACGCAATATTTAGAATTTCAAGAACTACGATTAGAATTAGACCCTAGGCCAGTGTACACATCAAGAAATGATAGATCAAATAAATTTATCAATCCAAGGAATGACTCTGATATAACAAGAATTTCTCAGTCCTTTTGCAGGTTCTATCATGGGGGCCATTGGCTTTAATCCCAGCAGCAGGCAAAGCCCTTCCTAGCCTTATGGCTTGTGTTTTGCTTAGTAACATGGGTGCATCCATTACAGAAGTTGCAAAGGATGCTCTTGTAGCAGAGTATGGCCAGAAACATGGCATCGGTGGCCTCCAGTCCTATGCATTCATGGCTTTAGCAGTCGGTGGCATTTTAGGGAACTTACTGGGTGGATATTGCTTACTTAAAACAGAACCAAGGACTATGTTTCTCATATTTTCACTTATGCTATCTCTTCAGTTTGCAATTTCATTATCATCAAGAGAAGAGTCCCTTGGTTTAAGGTCATCAGAAGAAAATCCTGGAAGGAAATTGATTTCAGAAAGTGTAAGGAAACAGCTGTCTAGTCTTATGCTGGCAATTAAGGAGGACAGCATCTTGCAACCTCTTACTTGGATTGTTGCATCCATTGCCATAGTCCCTATTCTGTCAGGTTCAGTCTTCTGCTATCAAACTCAGGGTCTTCACCTTGATCCTTCTGTTTTCGGCATGTCAAGAGTAATTGGCCAGGTGATTCTCCTTTGTATGACTGTACTTTACGATCGGTACTGGAAAAGACTCCCTATGAGGAAACTGATTGGTGCAGTGCAGGTTTTGTATGCATCCTCCCTCCTCCTTGATCTTGTTCTGGTGAGGCAGATCAATGTTGGGCTAGGAATTTCCAATGAGCTCTTTGCACTCTGTTTTTCAGGTTTAGCAGAAACTCTAGCACAATTTAAGCTACTTCCTTTTTCAACACTGTTGGCTAGTTTATGTCCAAAGGGATGTGAAGGATCTCTCACCTCCTTTCTAGCATCAGCCTTGTGTCTATCATCAGTTATCAGTGGGTTTCTAGGTGTTGGATTAGCTTCCCTGCTCGGAATAACATCTAGTGATTTCTCAAGTTTGCCTGTGGGAATATTGATACAGTTCCTTGCAGCTTTGGTGCCCTTAGTGTGGATCCACCATGTTCCCTGGTTTAAACCTGTAGTTGAGAAGGAGAGGAGGCAAGGTATGAGTAGAAGAAGTAGAAGAAATAGACGAGTTGGGAGAGTGGTGTTTGGTTCAGTTTATGTTTACCGCAGAGAAAGAGAGTCTGAAGCACAGAGATAGCGAGAGTTATATGATTCCATTGCAACAATCTTTAAGTGGAGATAGAGGTGTTGAAGGAGGAGATGGTGGAATCATTTGAAATTTGTTTTCTTTTCTTAAAACTATCCAAACATGAGCTCCAAAAGTTGGTGTCAGCCTTTGCAGAATGCAGATCATTAGCATCAGATGAGGGATGCTTTTGATTTGAATTTGGACATCTCAACTACCTTCTGAACTTTTTTTTCTTAAATGGCCTTTTATGACACATGCCCAGTACAGTGGTAAAGATGGCCTTAACGCTTCGTCAAGCAAAGGATGGATATTCTCCTAATGGTGTTCGCCCTAAGCTAAGTTTTGGTGCAGATTTGGCTGGTGTAGACCCTGAAAATTGTCATGTATACTTGCAATGTCTACGTATCAGCAAATCCGTAAATGATAAAGTGCTTGACGTTTAAGAATACCAAAAATAGATTGTCATTTCCTTTAAGTCAGAAATTCTGCGTCTACCTATCTCTGCATCACACACTTTCTGCTGATTTTATTCTTCTCCTTCTCTTTTTGGTGATAACACTTCCACAATAACGTGATGGCATAATGCTGCCTTTGAAGTTTTATTGTTAGAGAGACACATATATACATATAAACACATATACATATATATATTTTTATATTCAGGGTTAGTTTCTGTTTAGCTACCCTACCTGAAATCAACAACAGTATCAGATTGGAAGAACCATAATTAGCAAATCACCGAAAAAAACTCAACCTTAGAAGATTAATCTGCAACTCAACCTATGAATGCTGCCGCATATTTCTATTATCGATCTTCAAAATCCAGGGACATATCTAATCCTCAAAATAATCGGGAATAACCAGCTCTCTTCATCACTAATAAAAGGTCATCCAGCATCTTATATATCGAATTGGACTGAGAATGCAATTGATCAGCAACATAAAAACAATGAGTCTTCCCATTGACACTAATCCAACTGCAACCAGGTGCCTTCTTTAAACCCTTTTGGTGCATCATTGTCCTCACTTCAGCTACAGCATCCCATTTTCTAGAAGAGGCATGTAAATTCGAGATTGCTACATAATTTGAAGGATTTCTGGGTTCTACTTGAATGAGGAACCTATATGCCAGATCCTGCATAGCATAGTTCCCATGTATTAGTGAAGAACTAACAAGAGCTCCCCAGACACTTGGTCCAGCTTCCACAGGCATTTTATTGATAAAAGCCAATGCTTGATGAAGGTGGCCTGATCGACCTAACATGTCAACAACACAAGCACAGATCTCAGATGTGGGCTTAATGCTATATTTACATATTGCCGAGTTATATATCCTAAGGCCTTCTTTCACCAACCCAGACCTGCCACAAGCTGAAAGAACCCCAATTACTGTTATCATGTCTGGTTTATTCCCAAGTTCAAGCATTTGATCATACAAAAGAATAGCTTTCTCCCCCATGCCATGAAGTCCAAATCCTGAAATCATTGTACTCCAAGAGACTGCATCTTTACTAAAAGAACCATCTTCAAAGATACGGCTTGCGTAATTCAAGCTGCCAGATTTGGCATACATGTCCATCAAAGCATTGCAGAGAGCCACATCATGGTTCAAGTTCTTCCTTATAGCAAAACCATGAATTTGTTTTCCACCCAATAAACCAGCCAGGGAACTACAAGCAGGAAGAACACTCACGAGGGAAACTTTGTTTGGCACTATCCTATCCCTAACCAGCATTTCACGGAAAAGAACCAATGCTTCATCCAAAATTCCATTCTGCGCATACCCGCCTATCATTGCCGTCCAAGCATAAATATTTCTACTCTCCATTTGATCAAAGACCCTTCTACTCAGTACAACTCTACCGCTCCTTGAATACATGTCAATCAAACAAGAGCCCAGATAAACATCTGAAGTGACTGCCAAAACCAATCTATTTCTCAAAGCATAACAATGAAGCTCCTTCCCATAATCACATTTCTCAATATCCACAGTACACAATGATAGAAGACTAGAAACAGTGAAAGCATCAGGTTTAACCCCACCTGTTTGCATGACTTTAACAACCTCCCACGGGTCCTCATTAAAATCACCATTTACCAAATTCGCATACGCCGAAATAAGCACATTCCAAGAGCTCACGTTTCTGTACGGCATTTCATCGAACAGATTCCGGGTGTTCCCAAATTCTCTACACTTTGAATACATTGACAAGAGAGAATTAGCAACAACTGTATCTGACACAAAACCAAGTCGTACACTTTTTCCGTGAGCCAATTTCCCAGCCTCCAGATTTTCAATATCACCACAAGCCTTCAATATCGTCGCAAGCGTAAAATCATCAGGCAATACGCTCCCGCGACACATTTCGTTAAATAATCCAAAGGCATCATCATACCCGAGATTTTTAACATACCCATTGATTAATGAGTTCCATAGATATACAGTTTGGTGTTGGACCGATTCAAAAACGAGTTTTGACTCAGCTGGACTGCCACAGACGGCAAAAGCAGAGATGAGTTTTGAGGTCAAAAATGGGTTTTGACTGAATCCAAGAACGCTGATCTGGGCATGGCATTGCTTAGTGAGTTGCAGAGATTGACGATGAGCGGAGAACTGAAGAAGACGGAGGAGAGCGAGGGGCGAATCTAGGTCAGCAAGGGAAGCGAAACGACAGTAAGTTGTGAAGTTAAAGGTTCTGCGTGAAGAGAACAAGAAAAAGACCATGAATTGAGAGTGAAACAGCTTATACAATAAAGATGGATTTCTAAACTACAATTCTTTGTTCTTATACTATCATTCATACAGATTAGCTACTTGTAACATCTTCAGCTAAATCTTTCTATTTCATTTTAGTTATACTTGAAACTGGAAATATTTTTAGTTGCTATTTCAATTCACCCACCCCAATATCAGATCAGACCCCTTCCCTCTTAGGAATTTTCATTAATTTCCATTTCTTCTGAATTTCTCTCATTTTTCATTCACACTGTTGGAGTTCCCTTTTTCTTTCTTGTTTTGAAGATGACAACTCTTGCTTGGGATCTGGTCAAGAACGTGTCATGTTCAAAATTTGTTCACTTATTTATGATGGATTGTAGATAATAATGCATTGTAAATTACATATTAAGCCATTTTTTTATAAGTTTTAAGTTTAAAAGGAACTGGAACTCAATAATTTAACCAAAAAAGTATACACACACATATATATATATATGCACAACTTTAAGGAGGAAGATAACATAGTTCATATTCATGCGTGGTTTGCACCCAACATCAATAGATAAGAAGTTAGAATATAAATATATTTATATATATATATATTATGTATGTACATATAATTTAGGAGTTTCAAATAAGACAAATGCCAAACGATTCTCAAACTGATATCATAATTTTAATTTACATATGTTGACAAGTTAATTAATCTAAATAAACAAGAAAATAATAAGAAATAAAACACAAATTAGTATATATATATATATATATATGTAGAATCTAGTTCAAAATTTCAAGCATTATCTTTGTACTTTGTTAAAACGAACATCTAACAAAGGTACTTTTATGATAATTATATATTAATAAGTTTTGCAAGTACACTTAATAATGATCAAATGCTTAATTCATTAATAATCTTTCTCTTTATTATATTAATATTTTTGTTAATGATGATTCAAACCCTATTTAGCTACCTATTTTATAAAATTTATTATTAAATTCTTTAATTTTTTTTTTTTCAAAAATTCGTGTTGTCGTTTTGTGATAATTAAGTAATTAAAGTGCATACATACTTTATTTACCCGTGTCAAGATCAAAACTTGGATCATCTCTCTTTTAATTTTTTTAAAGCAACTAAAAAAGTCTCATATTCTAATTATGCACGCATATGTGGAAATCAAAATCAATTAATTAGTCTCTTTTATTAATTTTATAATCTTGAAATGCAATATATATATATATATATGTATGTATGTATATATAATATTGTAACAAGTCAGTCCACTTTAATTTGGATGATGTGCCAAATTTATTCTCTAAAACTAAGTGGCACAGTCCTCTCTTGTGGAGCCAAGTGTTCCTCTCTTCTATCTTGATTAAAAATATCTTTTGGTTGGTGAAGATGTTGGAAGCAACATAATATTAATATAATGGCATGGGTTAAATTCTTTAAACAATATATATTTATATTAAAGAGTAAAAATTTAAATAAATACAATTCGTTGATCTAGAGATTTGTATTTTTAGATTTCACTTATAGATAAAGAATCAGAGTTAGAAAGAAAATTTCAACGATCTTCTGATTTAAAATGACAGTAATCTCGATAGTTATCTAGATAAATTTTTATACCGATTGAGATTTTTATAACGAAATTAAATTTTTAATAAAATATTTAAAAAATTATATATATATATTTATAGTGATAGAGATTGTAGAAAAAAATATATATATTATATTCTATCTGATAAGAAAATTATATGTTAAGTAACTTGTATAATAAATAAATAATGAAAATTTTACTAAATTATCATGTACATAATAAAAATTTATTAAGTATTAAATTTAAATAATTAATAGAGAAAGCATATATATATATATATATTTTAATTAAATTATACAAATATGCGGAATGAGATATTTGAAACTAATATCTCAAATTTGGTACCATAAACTGAACGAATTCTATTAAAATTTTAAAAGTTTAAGTAATTCTAAGGGAGAAAAATGATAAATAAAAAATATTAAATTTGAATGTATTTGATAAATAATAAAGAAAAAATAATAATAAATGTGAATATATGAGTTGAGGAAGAAATATATATATATATATATATGGAAAATTGTTTCACTTTTTATTTATTAGAATTGGATACATATTGAAGGTGTTGATGATTATAAGCTTAACCTAGATTCATATAGGGGAAAAAAAAAAACAACCCAAATTGTTTACCCCTTAGGGCATCATCATCAAAAGGAAGCTCCTCTTTCAAGGACCATTCTCACTTAATAAACTACAAAACTCAGGCTTAAACATATAAATAATTTTATGTTAATAATTAAAATTAACAAAAGGGAGTGACCAGATTGTGGAAAGTGGGTTTTGGTGCACCACCAAAATTGACATGAACATCATCCAAGTTCCACAGTCCATCCCAGAGTAAATCATCATTGTTCACCTCACAAACACTGCCATTCACCACCGTAGTAGGATTCAAGTAATTAAACCCTTGTTCTTGCTGATCGACTGGTGTTGTATGGGAATAAAAACTAGTTGTCATTTGAGGAAAATATGGCACTTTTTGCTCATTTTCATCGAGTAGTGGTACCATTTTTTTCATCTCGACTTGATTATCTTGTAAACAGTGTTGCTGTTGATGTTGCAGTTGTTGTTGTTGGTGATGAAATTGTTGACGTTTCAGCATACGTTTATTGACTTTACTTGAGTTGTCAGGAGATCCTTTGGTCTTTTTTTTGAAATGGGTTCTCCAGTAATTCTTGATCTCGTTATCTGTTCTTCCTGGCAAACTTCGAGCTATTGTAGACCATCTGATCAATTTCGTCAGAATTTAGATCTCACTAATCAATGAAACTATTTACTATAACTACTTAAAAATAGTTTGAGATATGTATGTATGTATGTATGATAATTAATTAATTTACCTGTTCCCCCACCTAGCATGAAGCTCCAATATGATGTTCTCTTCGTGAGGTGTAATCTGGCCTCTCTTAAGGTCTGGCCTCAAGTAATTAACCCACCTAAGTCTACAGCTTTTCCCATTCCTTTTCAATCCTGTACTTACACGAACAAAAGAAACTATGAACAAATTTATTATAAGCATTCAACAGAAAAAAGAAACGTGTACATACATACATACATATATGTATATGCTAATTAGTTAGTCAGTCTTGATTTATATTAAATGATACAATCTGTGGATAGGTATCAAGGAATTAAAAAAGTACCCAAGAAAGAAAACGTACTTCCCAAATCAAGTTTTTCTTTTTTAAAAAAAAAAAAACACTTAAATCAAGCAATAGTATATATATATATATATAAGGTATAGATATAGATATAGTAAAAGAATAGAAAATTAATTACCAGCTAATCTAGCAACAGAGTTCCATCTGCCTTCACCATGCAACCTGACATAATCAATGAGCAAGCGATCTTCTTCAGCAGTCCAAGGACCCTTTCTCCAACCCTCTTCTATCACACCCCAACCCATCACTCCCCAAGACATCTCTTATAACCTTAATTCCCAATAGCCTTTGCTCCAAATCTTGTGGGACTTTGGCCTTAAATCTCCCTTACTTCCCTTTATTTATATCTCAACTCAACTCAACTCAACTCAACTCAACTCAACCCCTCTTTTTATAACACTTTTTTTTTGTAATATATATATATATATATATATATATATCAATTAAAGGTCACTTTCAAATATATCGTCCATATTGTACTTGTACTGTGCTAGCTACGGGTGATCTCTATGACACCATCATCTTTTTTTTTTCTTAAATGACCATTTTACCACTACTCCTAGACTACAACTGCAGTTCATATAATCTAAACTATTATTTCTTTTTATATGGAAATGTTAGTGTAACGTAGAATTTGAGTTTGCATTGTGTTGTATCACTTCAATTATATATTTAATTTATAAATAATAGTTATAATTTAAATTATACATTTTTTTTATTATAAGTATAGATTAACTGCGACTAATTTATAATATTCGATTCAGTTGAGTTACAATTTAATCCATTAGTTTTTAATTAAGTTATATCGATTAATTTGGATGTGTCTCGGTGAGTTATTAGGAATCTTATAATTGATTAATACCCGTTCTACTCTTTCTCTTTATTAAAAAAATTAAATGTCGTAAGCATAATCGAATTATAAAATATTATTATGAACTTTGATTATATATATATATAATTGAAGACGAACAGGAAGAAAGATGAGAAAAGAGTGTTAAGAAATGGGGTGACATGTCGTAATGAGAGAAGATCAAACCCAATAGAGAATATATTTGTTGAGATTAAAAGGGAGACAGAGAGTAATGAGAGGACTCGTGGGCTTAAGCCACGTATACCGCATAGGGAGGGCTTAGAGCGTCGGGACACTACGAATTTTGTTTAAGTTAAATTAAACCAATTAATTAAGTGGGATGGTGGATTTTTCTTTACTTGAAAACTACAAGGCAGCCAATGAGTTTATACTGAATTTCTGGACAACCAATGGGAATTAAACAACTGTTATTTGCTTACTTGTTCGAGCAGATTTATGAGTTCATTAAAATCTGTATTAAATATGTATTGGATTCCATATTGAGGATCAAGCTCTACTTAAATTATTTCGCTTTAATTTCTAGGTGATTTTTGTACGTCATCCGCGGGACACCTACTCCTCTCTCTCTCTCTTTCATTTTTTTTTAATGCACTTTTAGGTGCATGCATGTTTCATCTCCCGGTGATATGGAATACCCAAAATATGTTATGTTGATTTTTTTATTAAAAAAAAAAAAATTTAATTGAGTAACAATATAAGTTTAATGTTATAATTTGTTAATCAACGTAGACGATCAAATTAAGAATTGAGAGAAAAAAAAAAAAA